TCTGTAACATGTGTTACAAGAGCCCTCACTCAGCCAATCAGCACTCAGTGTGTAAAAGATGTCATGTGTTCTAATAATGTAAAGACAGCATATAGTGGTCTGAATTGTTCACAAAATGAGACAGAATATTCTAAATTGATTTTATAAAACAAAAATCAAATAAAAATATTATTCCCTCATCAAAAATAGAGTTGTCTTTAGATCCATCCACAATGATGATAATAAAAATTATAAATAATAATAATAATACCTCCTGTCTCAGTCCTGTAATAATATGATGTTATTGTATTGATATTGCCCCAAAATATATTTTGTCAATTTCAACACATTCTACTCCTCCAACTGGTGGTAGCAAAGGGAGTTGCACGCAGATATCATTTTTTACCCTTCATACTAGTTTCACCATATATTTTCTACGCATTCTAAAACATGAATTGAACAAATAAGTAAATAGTCTCATTGTCATTTTAAATAATGGATACCATTTCTTCTTTAAACAACTCTTCACGTTGGACCAAACAAAATATATTTATGAAAAACAAAAGGTAGGTGTACCAGCTTTAAATAAAATACAATAAATAAATAAAAATACACAAAGAATCTAAAAATACAGATATAAATTATACAAAGTTTATTTATGTGAATTGGTAAGATAATTCCAACCCATATGTAATTTTGTGTGCTCTATAGCAATATCGTACCTCGAACCACTGGCCGTGTGACTGCATCTTTAGCACTACGCAGGGGTCCGGTTTGGAGAGGGCATCGCGGTCTGAGATTCCACGGCATGCCACTCTGAGCTCCACTTTAGTCAGGCATGGCGAGCTGATGAAGCCCAGCGTGGCCTCTGCCGACTCGTAGATGTTACTCATGCTGAACACACAATCACCTCTGAAAGACCAAAGACAGAAAACACAGGTTATAAATAGTCTGTGCTGGATTATGCTCCTCGACATGCCCAGGTACAAACAGCCGGGCACACTGCAGTGGTGCTCTTGTGTAGACTTGGGCAGATGCAGTGGCCCTGACTAAGCAGACAGCACCTCAAGGTCAGGTCTCTGGAGCCAGGGAATAGCAGAGGAGGTCCTCACACACATGTACACGCACAGAAGTGATACATACTGTACGCTCAATTAAACACACTATAGATTTTAGGATTAGCAGAGGAATTCATAATCACTGCACGCATGCATGTTTATAGACAAGTAACAGTTCTATACATAGAGGCCAAGTACACTGTGCACTGTGCTGAGTAATGAACAAATCTCAAGATCACTGCTCGTGTTTCCACAGAACGGATTGTTTTACAAATAGGACACAAAAACCAAAGATGCTGTTCAGGAACCCTATCTACTTATGCAACTTCCCATGATTATATTTCTCATCACTACTCATCATCACATTTCATAATAATTGCACGCGTTAAAATGGGTAGTAGCATAAATTTTGCCAACATCTGCCCACAGTGCTGCGGTAAAAAGTTATTTTCCCTCGTTAATTGCATTATAGACTGTAACATTGCACTTTTTCTGTTGTTATGAGCCCTAAGCCTGGGATAAACGAAAACGGCAACAAGGCTTGTCAAAAGCATTGATAAAAAGATAATAATCAATACAAAAATTAGGATCAAAACTAGATCCTTTGAACAAGTATAAATACTAAATACAATGAAATAAACAGGACAAAATAACTTTTTGGCTCCATAAAAAGTATTATTAGGCAATATTTTGAGTTAGACATTTCAGTCATATTTGTGGTACTGAAATTGGTATTAAGTATAAAGCATTTTAAAAAAAAATAAAAATGTAGTTTAAATTTTGGTATTGTCTTAATCTTTGTTAAGTAAAATGAACAACAGGCAATTTACAATCCAAAACATCTGTACTTTAAAATGACAAGTGAAGTGCTGTATAATAAGTTAACCCTTTAGGCGCCAAACTTAATTCCTGAATCCTGGAGACACCTGGCTTCCCGCAAACGTTCCCCAACATTTGTATTCATCTTTTTATTTTATCTATTTCTGTTATTGATTTTAGAAGTCCTCCATCTCTTAAAAAAGTGTTGTCTGTTGAAGATAAAATGAATTAACTCAAAGGTTAATCAATGCATAGGTCATTATATCTTTAAAGAACAATGTATAGATAATACTTGTGAATACACATGGCCCATAAGAGTTTCCCAAAGAATCCAAACTAATGGATAACCACAGGTCTGATGTTCTGGATGGTACAAACTGAATATTAATGCAGTGGTCTAGTAGTATCATCCTTGGGGAACGGAGCTCTTAGAACTGGGTCTCACTCTGACCTGAATGTCTCTCTCTCTCCCTTTTCTTCCATAATTCATGCCCAATGTGTGTGCGTCTGTTGCCTCATGGTGATTATTTTTAGAGAAGTAGCCCGGATGGTTGTAAACTGGCGAAAGCAGAGCAGGTGTGTGACATACGACGAGCCTGTAAGGAGGTGTGGAGACTCTGCCCAGGGCCTGTGTAAGCGCTGTGTGCAGGCAGACCGTCTGTTCCGGTTGACAGCAGATGACAGGGGCAGTGACGGGGAATGTGTGGAAGATTTCTCCTGCTACTGTACGGAGAGCTGTGTGCAGAATCCATCTTTACAATGCAACTTAGAATCAGCTGTCACATGGGCTTCACTTAGTTAGTAATCAAAGTAGAGCTGCACAATATTTGAAATGACTGTGATATGCATACCATGGATAACAATATATATAGCAACGATATTATCTCTCGCAGAAGAAATAAAAATGCATGTTGGAACTGCAAGGTTTTCAGAAGTTGTTGCTGCCTTAAATTTAGCTCATCTCTTCTCCCACCATGTGTTTTGTTCTTTCCAGTCACTGTACAAAGAGAGTACTTCATCAGCAAATGGCTAAGTTCATGCATGAAAAAACCCACATGATTAATACATACAATTGCGTCTTTGAAATGTAATTATTGTAATACTTTTTCCAATATATTAAGGAACTTTAAATGAAAAGTCAAATTGTATTTCAATTAGGTGTATCTTCAATGGTGACATCTTCATAAAAACATGTGTAAACGTACAAACAGGGAGTAATATTATTATGATCTGCCCCAGGCCTTGTGTTGCAATGTTTTACAGTCTCAAGGGAATGGTTGTGCTGGGCTGGCCCTCTAGCTAATTATATCCATGGCCAAAAGAAAAATAAATTGGAATTACATTTACTTGAAAATAGTAATAACACACATAACTAAAGTAAAAAGTATAGTAATGGTAAACATTGCTCAAGTATTGAATGTAACTGTACTGTCAAAAAAATATGATACTATTTTCATTTTACATGGGAGATATAGGGGGAGGGAATACAGGGTAACAAGATAAATGAATTCACGCTGAAATTGCTGTGTAAATCAAACTAATTCACAAACGCCATAAAAGCAGTCATTGATTAGGGGCAATGTGAGGCATCTCCCCCAGCTATGAACAGTTCACCTATATTAACAGAGAAAACATCACCCCTCAAAGTGCAAATATGCATAAGTATGACAGACATTTCCCATACGTTTAGAGGCAAAGCGCTACAGACAGGTGCGACATTATCGATTTTACAGGAAAGACTAGATCTCCCTCTAATTGCCTTTCACAAATTGATTATCAGGCAAACAGTAAAGAAGGCATCTAAAGGAACATTGGGAAATCTATTGCACAGTGCAACACCGAGAGAGTATGTCAAGTGACTTGAGGCAATTGGAAGCCAAATAAAGTATGTTGGGTTGTGAAAAGAGATCCAGGGAGGTGTGGAACTGTATGAAAATAATTATGCACTCAGGCACGGTCTAATTGTTTAGTCTGGGGTCTAAAAAGGACTTCGAGAAAATCTCTACAACTGCTTTAATAACATAATCCATTCGAGACCTTAAGTTAGAACCAATGGTTTTAAGTACGGTACATCCAATTCGGTTCTTGCACAATTAGATCAGTCCTTCGACCATTGAGGATCAAATGCAAAGATTCTGAGTTAGAAAAAAAGAAAGAAAGCCATGGTAAATTCAGTCAATGACTGAAAATGTGCATGCCTTGGTGGTAAAGCTTCATTGGGAAAACTCACCTCTGCGACCTGAAGACAAGCTGTGCAGAGAACTTCACCGCCAGTACACTTGACAATCACGGATCCCTCAGCGCCTCCGGACCCATCTCCCTTTCCTCACTCTCTTTGTCTAAATGTTTCCCTCACTGCAGATGTCAGTACGCTAGCACGCTGTCTCCAGATATATCTTGTTTCTCCGATCAGGATGTGCTCCGTGCGCTTCTCTGGATAAAAGATGGGGAGGAGGAAGACGGTGCACCACTTAACAGGAGTTTGTAATCCTCTCGCTCCATCAGGGGCCGCAGAGAGCGCACTGTGCCGAGGGACCCACGGCCTGTCCGCGCAGTGCGTTAGCGCCATCTTGTGTCCAAACCTGGGAACAGAGCCCAGTTGTGCCCGCTCACCGTGCTGATTGGCAAAGATACGCTTCAGTTGTTTTATAATAAGAACTGACCGCACACCTGAGACCATACAGTAGTTAATTTAAAGTTCACGGTGTGGCAACACGATTCACCAGAGACGACTCCACCACAAACGTGCCAATTTGTTTGGACCTCATTAGTATTTTAAATTACATTGCAATCCAATTATTCCTCACTCCATGATAGACATTAATCAGCCATAAGATAGACTATATTTGAGAATATGGATTAGCCAGTGACTTGACTAACACTGCAATTAAAGGCGCGATGTCGTTGATAGCAGCTCGGTGATTCTATTTTTCAGTGGCATTTTTTCTACTGAGCTAATTAAATAGTTGATATGTAACGAATGCGTGAAATAAAGTAACAGCCAACTTATTAGGCTGTGGGGAGATGACCCTGAGTGGACCACGCCCCAGCCCCCCAGCGCTGGTCCCACACACGGGGGGCTAGCTGTGGTTTAGCGCAGCGGCTACATCCGGGCGCCCCGCTCGGTTTACCAGCCCTGCGAAGATGGCGACTTCAGGGAGGAGTGCATTATTATCCTCCTCATCCACAGGACCTAAGACTACACAGGAAAACCCCAACCCAGAAGAGGATGACGGACAGAATTTATGGTGAGTACAAGAATACCAACGCTTTGATTTTGTGATGTGAGTTTATGGAGGTGGAGTGGCCATTGTTTGCAAAGATGATGCTTGTTTGACAGCTAGCCTGCTAATAAGGCTAGCTAGCATCAGGACCAGACACTGGAGAATGCACAGCAGCACTGGGTTAGCTGGTATTAGCTTTTTGCTATCAGTCGCGACTTTGTGTGCATGCTACAAGGTAAATAGTGATTGCATTTAACGTTTAGTATGTATGTTATAGGTCCACTATCCTGAGTGAAGTGTCAACCCATTCAAGATCTAAACTACCGTCTGGCAAAAATGTCCTGGTCATGGGTGGGTATCAGTGTTGTGTCTGTGTGCACGAGCTTCGTTAGCTTTGAGCTGCCACAAAACTGCAGCAGCTTCAGTCTGAGGCTTATCATGTAGCTTTGTAGCTTGGTATTATGCAGTACACTGTGTGTCTGTTCCTCTATCCATTCAATAGAGTGGTGTTATGAGGCCTGATCTTATAATGCATTGCAAGTCATTCTAGCTTAAAGGAATTCTAGCAGCAGAAGGATGCGATATTGTAGCCTGAAGACGCAAAATGAAAGATTGTTTATAATGCGTCCGCGAAAAACTCTCACAAGTCCTAATCGTTTACATGGTCAATGAAATTATTTCATATCTAGGTTATTGTGGCTACAGTGATGATGCATCGCAACATCCTCAGAAATGTGTCCCCCTATTGGCATAGTGCAATATGACATACTGTGGATATATGCATCTTCTCATTCAAGTTTGACAAAATCACAGTTCTATACCTGTAATGATATTTATTCTTATTTCAATAATTATGGTGTCATTATTTTGAATCATGCAATTACAAATGTCCTGTATGTAAAATGGTTTTGACTCTACTTTTTATGTATATTTAGGTGAGGTGGGTTCAGGAAAAACCACCTTAGTCGCAAAGTTACAAGGAGTTGAAGAGTACATGAAGGGACGTGGCCTAGAATACCTCTACTTCAGTGTCCATGACGATGACATTGATGGTATTCAAGTAACATACAGAGATACATTAAATGTATGCAGATGTGAAGCCTGACAATATTCTAATCATATATTGTATTTTGTCTTCAGATCACACAAGATGTAATGCTTGGGTCCTAGATGGAGACCTCTATCACAAAGGTCTACAGGGAGTAGCGATACCTGTGGATGCAATCAGTGACACACTACTGATGATTACAATTGACATGTCTCGCCCGTGGAATGCTTTGGACTCTTTGCAAAAATGGGCAGCTGTTGCCAGAGAACACATTGACAAACTACGAATCCCCCCAGAGACACTGCGGGAGCTTGAACATAAAAGTGGGTAAAAATGTAAAAGAATAAACTAGATTTAAATTTGAACTATTCACAAATAAAATTCAAAATTACTAACTGTAGATGTATTTTTTTTCTCCTGGTCATAGTTGTTAAGCAGTTTCAGGAATACACTGAACCAGACAGTGGAGAGGATGGCACGCCGCAGAGAAGGAATGAAGATGAAGAGAGTATTCTTCTGCCTCTGGGAGACAACACGCTCACACATAACCTTGGGATACCTGTTGTGGTGGTCTGCACCAAGGTGTGTTGTGTACTAGTTATTATCATTATCTACTGAATCAAAGGAAAATTATCATGTTGACTTCTGCTTTAGTAGAAAGATGCTGCTTCAAATCTCTCTGATCTTGCGCTTTTTCTCCCCAGTGTGATGCCATCAGCACATTGGAGAAGGAGCATGACTACAGAGATGAGCACCTTGACTTTATTCAGTCTCATGTCAGACACTTCTGTTTACAATGTATCCTTTTTTGAAAGTGCCTTGACTGTAGAATGTTTTAGCACCGGACTACTGGTGGGTACAAAAAACACATTTTATTATCTTGTACTAAATTATTGAGGGGCAAAGTGTAGCTCTCTTCCTTGACTGTCAACTCAGATGGGGCGTCGCTGGTGTACGCGTCAGTAAAGGAGATGAAGAATCTGGATGTGCTTTATAAATATTTGGTTCATCGACTTTATGGCTTTCCCTTCCACTGTCCTGCTCAGGTGGTGGAAAGAGATGCAGTTTTCATGTAAGTCTGGAAACTGAAATAGCTTCTGGTGAATAGGACGTAGTCATTTAATATTATTACTCTGCCACTAGTCCTTCGGGTTGGGACAATGAGAAGAAGATTGCAATTCTCCATGAGAATTTTCAGACAGTAAAAGCAGACGACGGCTTTGAAGATGTAATAGTGAAGCCACCTGTCAGGAAGGTAGTGTATCATTTTTTGTCTCCATAACATTAAGTATGTGCTTTAATTGTTTCTCACTTTGTCCTGATCAGATCGTCCATGAAAAGGAGATTCAAGCAGAAGATGATCAAGTATTTCTGGTTAAACTTCAGGTCTGGCTTTTACCTTTTACTATTTTGGCTTTTGTTTAATGTGTCCGTGTGTAACACATTGTGTTCTAAAATTTGTAGTCACTACTTGCCAAACAACCCGCTGTGACCACAGGGCGACCAGTAGTAAGTCACTTCTTTATGATAAAATGTATTTTCTCAAATGTCAAAGGCTCTAAAATATACTGTTTTCATAGGACCCAACCAGCAGAGCACCCACAGGTTCCCCAAGGACAAGTAACCGCTCAGCGGCAGCCAATGTTGCCAATGCCATGCCTCAAGCAGGTAATCTTATAAAGTCATTAAGAAAGTTATTATTATTATTGGTGGTGTTATTCATTAATAATGATTTATTCTGGTTACTTTTTTGCTCCAGGTCAGACTAGTGAGGGTGTTTTGGCCAACTTCTTCAACAGTCTATTGACAAAAAAAGCTGGAACTGGTGGCCCAGGCACCGGTGGCAACAACACTCCTGGAACAGTACGCAAATCTGGTGGGTCAATTCCTTCATATACTGCATTTTCTCAATGGAGCTGCGATGTGCCTGCCTACCTTGGGGTTCTAAAAAAACTACGTTTTCATGTTTTGTTTATGGCTGAAAACAACCACTGTGGGTTATTACCACATGGTTGATTGGCCTCCGTTAGATCATCAAACTCATCCTGTACAATTTTTAAGAAGAATATCTCCAACCAAAGCAGAATGAGGCTCTCATTTGATTTGCCATTTACCAGCTTATTAGAAAAAAATGTTAACACAAAATGGCAACTAAGTGTGGGTAAGGTAGGCGAGGTAGTAAGTTAGGTAATTAGTCACACATAATACACATGTAGTGCATTTTTATGAACTAAAGAAGTGCCAGTACCAACCAGCCACAACTGATCCCAGTAAGAAAAGTTACGGTTTTTTGACAGCTTTCTTTTTATATTGAATGATGATTTATGATCTCTAAAATGCCACCGTAGCCCAGGCTCTCGGAGACGTCTCACAGACTCCGGATAGATAGTTAACATTACATTTTTAAATTGTACACATTACATTCCAGTTTGGCCATATTTTAGATGTATCTTTCTGTAATGGATGACATGACGCTAGGGATGTCACTGAGAAACATGATGTCGTCTTCATGAAATTTTCAGATTTTTATTTTATTCAACTATTTATCTGATTGTTATTCCTCCCTATCAAAAGATCTTTATAAATTGTTCTGTTCCAGAACTATGCTCTACTTCCTCTCATATATATGACATATTTTAATCGGGTGTTATTCCACTATATTAAATCCAAATTATGTACTCAAAGGGATCCATACAGTTTCATTTCGTATTAATTTATTGATGTGATGTGTTTAAGGACTTTTGTAAAATACAGAGAAATGTTCTAGTCTATCTAAGCCTTATTTGACAAAATCTGCCTTTTAATGTTTAAAATGACCAGCAACGACTTGAAGAATGCACAACACGATACTCCGATTAAGCTTTTGTTTCACATTTTTCAAAGCCTAATATTCGGATTGGTTCGAATTGCATATGCCATTAATATTCTACCGTTATCTCTTCAAATTCATTAACCCCATGTACTATTAAATTAAAGTGTCAACTTTCCTTCTATCATCGTTTTTTTGCCTTTCACATCTATTCTATATATTTTCATCACTACATTGGCATCTGATAAAAGTCAGATTTTGGTTTTAAGTACACACAAGTACTTGCTTGTGGCTGCTTTACCTCCTGACACCATAGCATTTGTTGTCTCACAATAACCACCATTCACATGTGTATGTGTGCACTAGCAAGAGGATGCTGGCCACGTTGAGGTGTGTGAGAGTAACATCATGGTCACTGCTGCTTGAATGTGCTCGAACCAACACCCATTATGTTCTTTTCTTTCTGATTATCCTCTGTTCAAGGCATACATCTTTTTAGAAGGTTCTTTCTTGGCAAATAAGTTTTTATACTGTATGTTTAGTACCACATACACTGTGTTTGTTTTTTTTTTTGACTGCTTTTGTATGAACCAGTTCCTTTAGCCAAAGCTTGTTACCTTTGGATACCTTCTTTTATTTTTCTTTCTTTGTCTCAGAATATGGATCTAATGTCAGTTTACGCCTGAATATCACATTTCACATACACCAGTCTAAACTTTCCACATTTTGTATGTAATTTTATAACTGAGTTTGTGGACAAGTCGAAATGATATTTCTAACTTGAGCATGTGTAAAACTGGTAACATTAAGGGTGTTTGTTTGTCTGCACTGCTGATGAAATATTTACATTTTGTGTGCATTGATTTTTTTTTTATCTTTTATTTTTCTCTATAGCTCCACCAGAGCAGTGTATCACTTTTGACAAACTATATCTGCCTTGAGTGGAAATTTATGGCTGCAATATTGTTATAATACTTTCTTTTTTCGTGCTACCACTTTTGTGTAGTATACACCAAACACAAGCTATACCATACAGTATGTGCACTATAGCAGTGAGAGCATGTAAGGCTTTGAAAAAGCTGACATCTTTCAATCAAGTGCATATGACAGGTTAGAGTAGATCATAAATTTCACTCAAACAGTTAAGATTATTAGTTATCAAAGAGAACCTATTCAGCTAAGTTTAAATACATTAGTCTCGATGACTGATGTAAAACTACCGGTCATATGCACTTAAAGTGCTTGTCTGCAAGTTGAAATATTTGCATTTATACACCTAAAATTATACGTATATAATTTCTTTGTTCATTTGTATGTATAATATATTAACAAACATTGTCTTTTTCGTATTTAAAGTTTGATTTGTTTTTATACAGGTTCAAAACTGGGAATAAGTGATGTACAGGCAGAACTGGACCGTATATCCAGTCGCGACACTGAAGTAGATTTGTCCAATGCCAATGAAACGCCCGCCAGTGACGGACAAGATACATGAAGACAAACACTTGTCACACTCCTACGTCATCCCTCCCCTTTAAATCACCTTCTGCAATTCAACCTTGCCTCCCATTTTCCTCTGTTCGTCGTGAAAATATGAGAATGGAGTAAGATGGATGAGAAAATGGGGTCTGAGTGGACAGATTTACTCACACTAATGAGGAGAAGTCACTGTTCTTCTCTAAAACTTAAATGAACTTTTTCTCCTCCATGTTATTTTCTTCCTGGCTGGTAAGTGGAAGCTGATGATGCAAGGCTGTTTCAAACACAAAGATTTGTGGCCATTGTAGAGACAAGAGTTTGAGTTGTCCTTGTGGACAAACAAAAAGATTGAAGCAAAACCTAACTGCAAAAGGAAATCCATCAAATTGTGAGCGTCATGTTAGTTTTCTTTTCTTTTTTTACTCTAGAGTTTAAGAGCGCATGTTGGAAACTGCACTTAGGTACTATAGGACTATAGGTTGTGTGAATGTATGAGATGTGTATGGAACAGGTCATATTTGGCGAAGGGGGTTTGAATGAATAGAGCAAAAATGCTTGCATCAGAATTGCTTACCAACTACAGTTGCAGTAATGTTAAATTAAAGGGACAAACAAACCAGTATTTGTGTGTATGTGTATGGTTTCTTTTGTGCGTTCAAGAGAATGAGTGGCACATGTAGATGCATTGAAGCTCAATGTAGACTTATGTTCATATTAGATTGTCTGTTTCAACCAAACAACTAAATTATCCTGAAGCGAACGCATTCACAGTGACAGGTTGCTAGTTGGATTACAAAAGCCAAACATGGATTCAATGTATTCCTACACCCTTTAAAAAAAAAAAAAACTTAAAAAAAAACTATCATACATTGTTTTTCATTTGTCAACACACTGCAATGATTGTGCAGCGACTGAAATGGCTCAGCTTTATTTCTACAAGATGCACAAGTGATTCTGTAATAACACTGGCGTAAGGGGGTTGCAGAATATGGAGTGTCAAATCAAAAATGAACATTCATTGTTACGCTGGTTGGTACTGCAATTTTCGTCTCTATTCTTGGCGTTTGTATAAACATATCTGTTAACCAGTCAAATAAAAGGTGTATTTATTCGGATTTCACTGCCTTAATGTGTACTTTGACCAGCTGCCCTCACCATTCTTTAAATAAACATTGGGTTGATATATTTATTATTCATGAAGAACTACCATATTTGTGCTTTTAGGCTTTTCTGGTCTGCTTTTTTATGGGGTTCATCTGCATTAGTAAATACGGTTTATTGCATTCCATTATTTAATTATTTAATGAGTATTACCCAGCTCCTCGGCCGCACATAAAATAAAGGGAAGACAACAGCTTTGAACAAGCACAGAGTCCAATGTACCATCGTCGTTCTCCTTGATAATATTTTTGGACGTCGACACTTGTTTAAGCACAGTATACGAACTAGAATATTCAGCTTGAAAAGAAGACCTCAAGGCCAGGACATGAGCACCAGGCAAAAATTGGCGCATCTCAGATCGAGGGTCAAAGCGTGCTCTCATTTTTCTTAGGTCACACCCAACTTCTCTCTAGCCAACTCACGGTACAAAGACCCGTTGACATTATCCTAACTTCTTGGGCGGTTCAAACTCTTACAACTCATCAGCTACCACAACTAAAGGGCCTCTAACATGTGTGTAATCGCCAACTCATTTGGACTAAAGCCAGTACTTTCCAGAGAAACCTCCCTTGCTACCACTAAAGGAGACCCTCCTCCCAGCCTTTATCCAGGTCCATACCATGGATCTATAATAACCATACAGGTCCACACAGTAAGCCTCGGTCACACAGGTTTTCACTAGAGTGACTTCAACGTCTGATGGAAGGCTCCTGATTCTCAGCAAAGCACTTGCTTGATTGTGTTTTACACAGGGCAGTTTCAGGACCTAAGAAAACAAATGAAATGTGAAGTTCATGATATCCTGATGCACGTATGACTTCACCCCAAACAAATTCTAATAAAAGGTTTCTCAGTGGTTTATATTATAGTCAGATGTGCTTAATAACTAAAGGTTTACCAAAAGTTTGACAACCGGAAAGATGTAATTTTCAAGATGGCCGCTGTGTGTCCCCTAAATTTACTATGGCCAAAAGATTACCTTAAAATGACCAGGAATAGTGGTGTTTGAAAACATGTTTTGACCATGTAATATTTGAATAAGCATATTCACTTTATAGATAAGTGATTATAAGTATAATTTGTGTGGTACTGTAAAATTTCTTAAAACAGGGCCGCCCCATGTAGGCTCAGCACTGCTAACGCCTTTTTTGTGTGTGTTTTAAATATTCTTTTTAATTGTGTTTTCTTTTTAAAAAATCCTTTTTACATTTTGTAATTTGTTTTAATTACATTTTTAAGTCAAATGGAGACAATCAGTTCTTTTATTCATTTTTTTTATGCGACCTTCATATTGATAGGTTTATTAAAGCTATTTTCACAACGGTCAACTTGACATGGTCCACAGCATACATGGTTGTCCATATGCCTTACAACTGCACCGTTGGGTTCAGCAGGCAGCTGTGCAGTTACAGTGGACCATCTGCAGTAGGCTCTCAGGAATAGTGGACCATCTGCAGTAGGCTCTCAGGAACAGTGGACCATCTGCAGTAGGCTCGCAGGAACAGTGGACCATCTGCAGTATAGGCTCTCAGGAACAGTGGACCATCTGCAATAGGCTCTCAGGAACAGTGGACCATCTGCAGTAGGCTCTCAGGAACAGTGGACCATCTGCAGTAGGCTCTCAGGAACAGTGGACCATCTGCAGTATAGGCTCTCAGGAACAGTGGACCATCTGCAGTAGGCTCTCAGGAACAGTGGACCATCTGCAGTATAGGCTCTCAGGAACAGTGGACCATCTGCAGTAGGCTCTCAGGAACAGTGGACCATCTGCAGTAGGCTCGCAGGAACAGTGGACCATCTGCAGTAGGCTCTCAGGAACAGTGGACCATCTGCAATAGGCTCTCAGGAACAGTGGACCATCTGCAGTAGGCTCTCAGGAATAGTGGACCATCTGCAGTAGGCTCTCAGGAACAGTGGACCATCTGCAGTATAGGCTCTCAGGAACAGTGGACCATCTGCAGTAGGCTCTCAGGAACAGTGGACCATCTGCAGTATAGGCTCTCAGGAACAGTGGACCATCTGCAGTATAGGCTCTCAGGAACAGTGGACCATCTGCAGTAGGCTCTCAGGAACAGTGGACCATCTGCAGTAGGTTCTCAGGAACAGTGGACCATCTGCAGTATAGGCTCTCAGGAACAGTGGACCATCTGCAGTGGGCTCTCAGGAACAGTGGACCATCTGCAGTAGGCTCGCAGGAACAGTGGACCATCTGCAGTAGGCTCTCAGGAACAAGGCAAGGCAAGGCAAGGCAAGTTTATTTGTATAGCACAATTCATACACAAGGCAACTCAAAGTGCTGAACAAGATAACATTAAAATCATAAATAATTACAGAACATTAAAACGAAAGATAAAAATATAAAATCCTTCAGTTGTATGCACAGCTAAACAGCACCGTTTTTAACCTGGTTTTAAACATTGTCAGAGAGGAGGCCTGTCTCACATCTTCAGGAAGATTGTTCCAGATTTTAGCAGCATGAATCTGAAAAGCAGCCTCCCCATGTTTAGTTCTGACTCTGGGCACTAACAGGAGTCCAGTCCCTGTGCTCCTCAGAGTCCGGGCTGGTTCATATGGGACTAACATGTCACTAATATATTTTGGTGCGAGGCCATGGAGAGACTTGTACACAAGCAGAGCTGTTTTAAAGTCTATTCTCTGAGCCACAGGAAGCCAGTGCAGAGACCTGAGGACTGGACTAATGTGGTCGTACTTCCTGGTTCTAGTCAGGACTCGAGCTGCTGCATTTTGAATGTACTGCAGCTGTTTTACAGCCTGTTTGGACAGACCTGTGAGCAGGCCATTGCAGTAGTCTAACCTACTGGAGACAAATGCATGGATAAGAATCTCCAGGTCTGCTTTAGACACTATGTTTTTGATCCTGGCAATGTTTTTTAGATGGTAAAAAGCTGCTGATGTTACTGATTTTATGTGGCTATTAAAATTTAAGTCTGAGTCCAGTATTACCCCTAGATTTCTGACCTTGTTTGAAGGTTTTAGGGAGAGAGACTGTAGGTGACAGATGACGCTCTCTCTTTGTTTCTGGGGACGAAAGACAATCATTTCAGTTTTGTCTGCGTTTAGCTGAAGGAAGTTGTTTTGCATCCACTCACTGATCTGTTGGATACAGTGAAGGAGTGAGTCCACTGGTCCATGTTCTCCTGCAGTCAGTGAGACATAGATCTGAGTGTCGTCTGCATAGTTATGATAGGAAACTTTGTTTCTGTGTATTAACTGACCTAACGGCAGCATGTAGAGATTGAACAGAAGAGGTCCCAGGATCGACCCCTGTGGGACTCCACAGGTCAGGGCCATATGATCTGAGACACAGTTTCCAATCTCCACAAAGTATTTCCTGTCTTCAAGGTAAGACCTAAACCAACTTAGGGCGGTGCCAGCGACGCCAACCCAGTCCTCTAGTCTCTGTAAGAGGATCTCATGGTCGACAGTGTCAAAGGCAGCACTTAGATCTAACAGGATTAGGATTGAGACTTTGCCTGCGTCAGTGTTCAGCCGGATATCATTTGTAACCTTGACGAGAGCAGTCTCAGTGCTGTGGTGGGGTCTAAAGCCGGACTGAAACATATCAAATGAGTTGTTGATTATAAGAAATCTAGTAAGCTGTAGGTAGACAACTTTTTCAAGGACTTTCCCCATAAATGGCAGATTTGAGATGGGACGATAGTTGTTAAGTACCGTAGCATCCAGACTGCTCTTTTTTAGCAGGGGCCTGATGACTGCAGTTTTCAGGGCCTTTGGGAATATTCCAGAATCAAGGGACATGTTTACTATCTGTGTGAGTGAAGGTAACAGACTGCTCAGAACAGACTTTAGAAATATAGTGGGTAGTACATCCAG